CTCTTGCGTTACATCAACCCTCATAAGGTGAAACTTTTCGCACAACTGACAACTCAATTCGGCATTATTTCGAAGCCCAAAGCCCCCACTCCCCATCACCGCGTTGCACGTGCCAAATATTTTGGCCAATCTCTCAAGTACTCACACCCTTCCCTTCCCTTCCCTTCCCTGCCCCACCATTCTCTCCCACTCTTAGCTCAATGCAAAGATGCGGACTCCATTGGATGTCACTCCGCTTTGGCTTTGACTCTGATTCTGATTCTGTTTCTGCTTCAGCTTCAGCTAGAGCTTTCTCTGCGTAATGAACAATTTTCCAGCATTCGCTATGGCCCCGCCTTTGTCGCACGCCCCCAGACTCCAACCCTCTGTCCTGCTGGGGTGCGGACCAGATTTCGTGGCGGGTTGTCTGAGGGGCGACTAAGTCTGACTCAGTCTAGTCCGGTTTTGGCTTGTGTGGCTCTGCCTGCGAATTACTAAACATAAATCATAAATATTTTAAAGTTTCAAATTACCAGTGGCAAAAACAATCAATGCATGTAAGCCACCCCCCCTGAGGCCTTTTTGAGGCGTTCCCCAAGCGCTGTCACACAGCTGTCAACATTTGCCAGAGGTCCAGGGGACGGCACGCAATCAGCGCTAATCTAATGAGTGTCAGTGGATGTTGCATGTGGCGTGTGGCATGTGGGAGCAATAGACGTATTGTTCAGCCAGGTGTTGGTCCTTGGATCCCGAGGCGCCTCAAAGTTTTCCCAAATGAAATGACAGAGTGTGCCCGTCTTTACTCCTTTTACTCCGCTCTCACTGCAAGTCTCCATGCAAGTTATGAATATTGCAGAATGCCGAAACGACATCTTGCAACTTCTCAAGTATGTAACGGGTCTTTTATGTGCAGTTACCGTTAGCAGTTTTCCCCGTTACCGTTGGCAACGATGGCAGGCAGACAGACAGGCGGGCAGGCAGTCAGCCCAGGAGGAGTCTGTCCCAGTCAGCCATTATATAAAAATAATTATTTGCCAGCACATTCATTACCCATGACAGTTCCACGCAGATCCCAGAGTGCCGGCTACGGGGAATATTAAAAATGCAATTTCTACCTCCAAAAAAAAAAAATAAGGGAACGAAAAAGCAAAAGGAAAGGGCGGAGAAGGTGAAGGGAAAGGGAAAGGGGTAGAAAGTGCGTGCTGCCATTCCCCATTCACGTACACCGCAATACGCATTTGCAAATTGCATTGCCAACCAAGGACCAACTGAGGAAGGACTCTGCCAAGACCTACAGCGCCACAGCTCCATTCCCACTGCCATTCCCAATCCAGAGCCCACTCTTGAGTTGCAATTTCATTTTACGTCTCATCATTGTGGAGACTCGGACATGAGCATCAAATTAAATGCTCGCAATGCAATAAACATTAATAAAAATAAGAATCAAGGTAGCTGCTCGATGCTCCCACTACTCCTCCGCCTCCTCCTCCTGGCGGGAATGGAAATTGCTCATAAACAAGTCCATCAAATAAAGTGCACAATACTCTTCTCGCCCAAACGGACCGACAAACGACCGGCAGAACGAAACGGAACGAAACACAGCAACAAAAATTCGCTTTTTTCCGCTCATCCATTGGTGACTTTTGGCGTAAAAACCGCAGCACAATATTAACAATGACGCATGGAGGACGACACACAGAGGCACTTACAGATACTCCCTCACAGATACTGCCACACACAGATACACACTCATATACATACATACAGAGCAGAGCAGAGCAGACTATCAAATTTTAATACGCCCGCCCGGCTGTGCCTTTATTTCATAAATTTTTAATGAAATTAAGCGGCAAAGCTTTTTGGGTTTTTGGGTTTTCTGTTGCCTTTCATAAAGAGTAAAATACATAAGTAAAGCCAGACGAACGGGACGGGGCCGAACAGAACAGAACAGAACAGAACAGACATCCAGACGGACAAACATTGTTTGCATACCTTTTTAAATGGTTTTAAAAAGTTTTTCTCTTTTCGTTAACCACAACTAAAAGTGCGGCCTGTTAAATTATGAATTAAGCGGTTTTATTCGACTCTATATATGCACACAGTGCCCTCTCTCGTATTTACAGTGGATAAAGTCTTTTGTTTTTAATGAGTGCGATTGCAGTGGCTTTGAATATTTGAAGAGGTCAACTAGAACACAATGAGTACTTCCGGCAGTCACCAGTACATAGAGATGGCCTAGGGACAACACACGATGGGCGAACGAAGCTCTGTATGCCCGAAGTTTCCTTCACGTGTATTACCCACGACTCTCTGCACTCCGCTCTAGATCGAACCCCCAAAATGCACCCCAAATATGTATGTGCAATGCAAAAAAGGAAGGAAAAAAGCCAAAAACTCGAATAAGCGCAGACACAACCCCCCAGGAGCAGCACAGGACAGGACAGGACAGAAGGGGACAGAAACAGGCGGAACAGGCGGGCCATATGCGAAATCAAAAGTTGTTTATGACTCAATTTGTAGTTTTTGAACATGAATTATTGCAGCTGTGAGCGGGGGAACCGAATACAAACAGAAAAAATAAAATTAAAATAAAGTTTGGGAAAGCAAAAAAAAAAAACGAAAAAAAAGAGAACACAATATTTCGGATGAGGGAAAACTAATTTCGGAAAGAGGAAATTAAATATGGCAAAGTTTGACATGTGACAGATTTCTTGCTGTTGTTTCCAATATTCATTTTGTGGAGCCAAATAATTGAAACATTTGCTGCTCCTGCTGCTCCTGTTGCTCCTGCTGCTGCTGCTGCTCCAAACATGCAAATTTCAATTTCAATTTTCAGCCAAAGCAAAGCCTCACACAGAGAAGGATACAGGACAGGTTAAGCGTATTTGGAAATGATTTTGAACTGCTCTTATTGTCCCCTGCAACTGAGCTGAAACCAAAGTCATTTCATTTCATTTGATTTTATTTGATTTTAATTCCATTCCGTAGAGCTGTGGCGCTGCGTCTGCTGTCCGATTTTGCATATTTTTACAACTTTTTTGCTCGACACTTAATTTAGTCAATAACATGCAAATGATTCCCGCCAGAGTCTAATTGGAAAAGCAACTCGAAAGAGTCGACTCGGTGACGGAGTCGGGAAACTGCAACTTTTCCTTAGTTCTTTTGGACTCCACCTCCGACTCTAGCTCTGACTCTGACTCTGACTCTGACTCTGAATTCAGCATTAAAAGCTGCGGTGCGTCAAACTTATAATCAAGAGGGGATTTCCTCTGACATGACAGAGGGTGTGGCGGCGGGAGACTCGAAAGACTGATGAGCTACAGCGTTTCTGCATTTCATCGCAGTTTCTTGGCAGGGCACGGATAGATGAGAAAGTGGAATGCCAGACAATGCGTTTGCACAGCCAGAAAGTACTCGGAAATGTTCCTTCGACTCTGAGAGTGTAGCCCGAATTTATCAGTTTGATGGAGGAACCGCAAACTGCATAGCAAATGCACTGAGAGAAAACTTAATTTCTCTGTTTGTAATAAAGGAAAAGTTAGGAGCGCCAAATTCTCTGAGTGCATAGATGCCATCTGCAGCCGCCACAACCGCCAAGGATGTGCACATTCCTCATCATCAAGTGCTGCTCAGTTGCATGTCTGTGATGTGATATGATTCGGTTGTGGGTAGCCTAGCTCTCTGTCTCTCTGTCTCTCTCTGGCACTCTGGCTCTCTTTGTTTGTCTGCCAGCTGTCTGTCTCCGAGGCTGTTTGTCAGTCTTGGGTTTTCCTTGCGGTTGCCAGTTTCCAGTTTCTGGTTTTATTTCGAGCTCGCGCTCTCGCTCTCGCCGTGCGACACACCGTTGACACATTCGCCTGACAAATGGCCATAAGTGTATAATTGGATAAGAACTTGGGCAAACGGAGAAAGGTTATTTCTTTTGTCCACTATCTGCCTCTCGCTGTCTTTGTTTCATTTGCTTTAAGTAAAACTCTTTTTGTGCATTCATTTCCAGCTAGTTTTCCAGCTCAATCGAATTAGCAAAGGGAACCAATGTCTCCCTCGCTCTCTCTTTCTGGCTGAAGTACTGCATGGCTGACTACTTATCGCTTAATCACATCAGCAGGGCCCATATCGGGCATCTGCATGTAACATTTAGCAACATCAAATCGTTACTCTCCCATCCATCCGCACATCAAAGCCAATCAAAATGGCATTTCAATAATATCAGAGCCATACAATCGCATCAGCGGGTGGCATCAGCGCGGCATCGGGGGGAGGGCTTGGCAAAGGGAATTGTTGTAATGGAGAGCGCGTATATTTGTACCGCACAAAACGTGTCGGTTTGGGGTATGTTGGCTTTGTGCAAATCACAAATTTGAAACTCTTTTTTTGGCTGGGTATAAAATGCATCAAAATGTATGCAGCTCAAGCTTCATCGTTACAGGTTAGCCAGAAAGTGATCGGTTAGCACTGTATAAGAGGGTATATTCTAGTTCATACATGCGTAACACTCTTCCTTGTTGCGTTCGTTTCGATATGTGCGTCTCTCTGTGTGTGAACACATCAATGATTCGTTCACAAATATTACAAGCATGAACGAACACACACACAAACACAGCCAAATAGACCAAGAGAATGAAAGTGCGTGGGAGTGGGAGCTGGCACGGTTTGGCTGGGGCTTCCGGAAATTGTGTCAAACAAGACGACTTTCGCTTTCCCTCAAAATGTGTCCTTGCCCAAATGTTTATATGTATAGATATTTATCTCAGTGTCTGTGTGTCAGTCAGTGTGTGTGTGCGTTGCGTGTCATAAAGATATTGACAGGGCCATAAAGATAACCGTAGTGGCTTGTGAATGGCATGTCAAGGAAGAAATTAAGCGGCTACCGCCTCCCGACTGGCTGGCTCCCTTCACTCTCTGAATGAAAATTCTTTGGCATTGTGAATGCCAAGCTACATAAATTGAATAAAACTAAAGTGAGTTATGGATTTGATACGATTTCCACGGTTAGAGCTATCTCCGATGCCAAAATGCAGTTTTCGGCTGTGTGTTGTCTATTTTATAATCGAAAGTTGGATTGGAATTTTACAGTACTGGAGGATCTACAGCTAACAGTCGTCTTTTTCTTGGGGTGGTGAGGGAATGGGGCAACCGCAGCACATCCTTTGTGGGGGTTTCTCCTGCGGACACTCTGGTCCTTTTTGATCGGCCAGCGGGAACTGCTTGATGGCCGGTAACTTGGTTCTGCTGGTAGGCGGGCTACAGCCACAATCTGATTCTGTTTGCGACACTGGAGCAGGCGCCGCTTGCATGCTGCTGGTAGGTGGCCCACATTCGCAATCCTCTTCCACTGACGCCACTTGCCTCGCTGGCACCACTGGCACCGATGGCTGATTTGTCGCCTTACACTGTACGGTCGGTGGTTGCTGCTTTAGGCCGCCACAGCGCGGACAGACGAAGCAGCCTTCTGGAAGGTCTGGACAGTCGGGAGTATCGGGAGGGTCGTATCCCGATTGACTTCTGCTGCCACGGGGCGCTAACGATGCCGTTGCTGGGCCTTGCATATCCTGCCCATAGTTTGAAGAATCGTGTTCTGAGTTCTGTGAAGTTAACGAACACTCGCAGGGAGACAGCAAAACCTCTTGCTGAATAGCACTCGGCGCGTACATGGGAGCGGCCGTGAACCTAGTCTCTCGTTGACCAGGCATCGTGGTTCGTACCAGGCTGGGATCACCAACGGATTGTTCTCCATTGTAGGGAACAGCAGCGGATTGTTGATCTTCGTAAGACGCATAAGATTGTGGCTGTATGGAAGCATTGTAAGGCACAGCAGCAGCAGTGAACGGGACAGCAGCCATGATCCTGTATTGTGGTTGGCCAGCATTCGTCGGTACTTCCAGACATCGTTGACACGGTTTCTTCGATTTGGAAGGTTCAGCAGTAGCTTGCTCTTGCATGGAAGAATCAACAACGGACTGTTCTTGACTGTAAGGATCTGCACGGGATCGTTCTTGGCTGTAAGGGTCCATAGAGGAGTGTTCTCGATGGTTATCATCCATGGCGGGCACTTGTCGACTGTAAGGATCTACAGCAGACTGTTCTCGATTGTAGGGATCCATGGCGGACTGTTCTCTATTATAAGGATCAGCAGCGGACTGTTCTCGACTGTAAGGATCCACAGCAGACTGTTCTCGATTGTAGGGATCCATGGCGGACTGTTCTCTATTATTAGGATCAGCAGCGGACTGTTCTCGACCATAAGGATCAGCTGAAGATTTTTCTCGATTGTATGTATCATAGGCCGACTGTCCGCGACTGTAAGGATCCATAGCGGAATGTTCACGATTGTTAGAATCTGCAGCGGACTGTTTCCGTTTGTAAGGATCTGCTGAAGATTTCTCTCGATTGTAAGCAGCAGCAGTGGATTGTTGTCGACTGTAGGGATCAACAGCGGACTGTTCTCGACCATTAGGATCAGCAGCCGACTGTCCTCGTGTGTATGGATCCATAGCAGACTGTTCCCGACTGTATGGATCAACAGCAGACTGTTCCCGAGTGTAAGGATCAACCGCAGACTGTTCACGATTGTCAATAGCGGATTGTTCAGGACTAAATGGTTCGCCATCAGATTGTTCTTGACTGTTAAAATCGGCATCAGACTGCTCCTGGCTGTAAGGATCATTTGGGGGAGTGTACTCCACGTAGCTGGACTGATCGATCGACGGTTTTCCTTGAGTGGGAACAGCAGAGGCTTGCTCTCGAGGAACAGGAGAAGGATTTGAAGGACTCCTTGACTGCCGTTGATTCAGAGTCACATTATTGTTGTTATTGTTTTCCACCGTCAGCGTCGGGGATCGTGCTGGACTCTGAATGGCACTGCTTTGATCTCGATGGGAAGCAGAAATCGCTGATTGTTCGCGACTATAGGGATCTGCAGCGGATTTTTCTCGACTGTAACGCACAGGAGAACCGCTGTTCTCGACAGATTTGCGACTGCTCGACACCCGTTGGCTGGGGATCGTGGTGCGGCCTGCACCGGAAAGAGCAGACTGTTCTCGACCAACAACGGACTGTTCTGGCCTGTAAGCAGCAACAGCGGACTGTTCTCGAGTGTAAGCTGCAACAGCGGACTGTTCTCGAGTGTAAGCAGCAACAGCGGACTGTTCTCGAGTGTAAGCAGCAACAGCGGACTGCTCTCGATTGTAAGGATCAGCTGTAGATTGTTCTTCAACGTAAGAATCGACAGCGGACTGTTCGCGAGCATAAGGATTAGCAGCGGACTGTTCTCTACCATAAGGATCAGCAGCAGATTGTTCTCGAAGGTAGGAATCAGCTGCGGACTGTTCGCGAGCATAAGGATCTGCTGCCGACTGTTCTCGAGCATAAGGATCAACAGCGGACTGTTCTCTACCATAAGCATCAACAGCAGATAGTTCTCGAAGGTAAGGAGCCACAGCGGACTGTTCTCGAGCATAAGCCTCAGCTGCGGACTGTTCTCGAAGGTAAGGATCAGCAGCCGACTGTGTCCGTGTGTAACGCTCAGGGAAAACAGTCGTCTCCACAGCAGTTGGGAGCCTTGATTCTGGTGCAGAACCGATTGGTGTTCGACCGGGACTGAAAGTTGGACTTGTGGACTGTTCTCGAGTGTAGGGAATGCCGGAGGCCTGTTCTCGAGTGTAGGGAATGGCAGAGGCTTGTTCTCGTGGAAGCACTGAAGCATTGTACTCGCCAGTGGAAGCTTCCTCCAGCTGTGGATAGCTGGTGATCGTGGATCGTCCTGATTTATGAATCGTGGATCTTCCCGTAGCCGGGATTGTAGATCGTCCGGATGAGATGGTTGTGGCTCGTTTTGGACTGGCGACCACAGGATGTCCGACTATGTTCGACACGAGCGACTGCTTCATACGATTGGAGGCCTCGTCCACTACTTTCTGCGCACAGGGACCCGAACAGTGGCCCGGACCGTCTCTGTTGCTGACAGCGATATTGTTCTCACTGGTGATGATGTAATTCTTTTTCGTGATCATTTTGCTCTGACTGGTCACGGGGCAGTCGCCGAGATTGCCCGTTGCTGATTTTCCCACCGTGCTTCTGCAATGCACATCACTGCGGTCCTGGAGGGACAGCTCCGGGCCGTATCGGGAGAGGTATTCGAGAATGATGCCATTGGTCCAGCCGAAACCCGTTTGATTCTGATACTCCCCACCGCCGCCACCAGAGCCAAATTTCTCGCAATTGTACTGAAAGAGGGAGAGCAAGGAGTGGGCTGCTAGAATCCTCAGCAGGAATGGGCAATGCGCTCACCTTCTCGAACATGAAGCCCGTTAGGGCGTAGGCCTCGTAGTTATTCTTCACCCAGCGATGGGCCCAGCGCTCGGACATGGCCCTGGCCTCGGGTGTGCCCAGATTGTGCAGCCCATCGATAATCATAAACATCATGGGAGGCCACACATTCGGGTAGTCCCACTGCTGCCCCGTATCCCTGTTCATTGTGTTGGGCACTCCACCAGGGTAGTCGTCCAGATTGTGCATCTTGATGTAGTTCATCACGCCCCGGGAGATCTTATCGGTGTCGACCAGGGGGAAGGCGCGTGCCCACAGCGGCGAGAAGTTGGAGGCGGAGAAGTAGGGGCGCGGACGGTTGTTCAGCATGTCGTAGTCCAGCCAGATGCCAGCCTCCTCGTTCCACAGGACGTCGCGCACCGCCTTGACGAGGCCGCAGGCAATGTCCGAGTACTCCTCCACCTTGCTGTTGTGGCCAGCCTTGCGATTGAATTCCGCAAGGATCTTGGCGCTGCGAAAGAGGATCACATTCAGATCAACGGGCACTATGGACGTTGTCTGGATATCCTTCAGGGTGCCCCGATTCGTCCCGTCCCTGGCAATGAACCAGCGGGAACTGAAGTCCATGCCGGATTCGCAGGCGGACTTGAGCTGCGTGTAGTGGCGCTCCTTCTCCGGCTCGCTCAGGAACTCTGCCGCACTGGCCACATCCTCGCGATACGATTCCGGGCGAGGCCCCGTCGAGTAGTCCTGGTAGTGGTACATCGTGCGCCCCTTCACCTGCACCTGATGCTTCTCCACAAAGTTATCGAACTCGGCCTCGAGCAGCGGCAGCGACTGCATGGCATACTTCTCATCCAGCGTCACATCCACATACGCCTTCATCATGTGTATCAGCATCGGTGGCTGCGAGCGGCCGTAGTAGTAGATGCGTCCCCCATTTGGCACGAACCCATATTGCCTCACTATCGACAGGAAGTTGTCGATCATGCCACGGGCCGTCGCGTGCATGCCGCAGTGCAGCAGGCCGCGGATGATCCACAGCGAGTCCCAGTAGTAGAACTCAATGAAGCGGCCACCCGGCACGATCACCGGATTCGGCACGTACACAATGGAATATTTCTCTGGATTCTCCTTCACCTCATCCTTCATGCGTCGGCCCAGCACCTTCCACAGGGCGTTGAGTTCCACACCGAATCTCCTTAGCTCCGGATCGGCGATTCTGTTGGCAAACGGCGGCTCACTCTTCCAATCGGGCGGTGTCCACTCCTCCAGCTCGGTGCCCTTCTCCAGAAAGTGTTTCTGCAAGTGACACAATAAAATAATTGCTGGCAATGCAGAACTTTGTCTCGAACCTCGACAAACATTTCGAGAAACTGTAAGGAACCATCATTCTTGCGGCAATTGCGGAACAGCTCATAGTCGGCCAGCAGCCTCTCCGGCGGATACTTGCTCTTCATGTCCACGAATGTCTTGCAGTCGGGGAACATGTTCGACCGCTGTACAGCGTCCAGCAGCGGCCCAGAGCAGTAGACAGCCCTGATGACAAAATTGTTTCAAATCGAATGGGAAACGAATGAAAATCCAATCGATTGCGATCACAACTCACCGATTTGCCGCGCCGAGCACCTGTGGCCCACACCGGCACAGATTTTGCGGCATTTTGGACAGTGAATTTTGTGTGTGTTCTGTGTAAATTTTGTGTGTTGCAATTCCAAATACGAATAGACACACACATAGAGAACATACATTGACCGACTGCTCAAAGGCGACTCTGTTTTGAGGCATAAATCAAAACAGCAGCAGAGCAACAACATCTATTATATTGACCATTAAAGCAAATTTGTCGACATTTGCCATTAGGAGTCAACAATGTTCGGCCATAAATCAGCGCAAATAGACAGGAAGCGCCTTCTTCTTGTTGGAATCTTACTGAATGCTGCCCCCGATTCCGTGCCACACATTTATTTTAAATTACCATAAATGTTCTTTGGCCTCCACTGAACCCACCCAGAAACCAGAACCCAAAAACCGAGATGAGCCAGAGAGAACTTTGCCTAAAAGCTATTGGCCTCTGTGTCCATTTGTAATTTCCAGACAATTTATCAAACCAGCGAAAGGGAGAGCTGCCTGCTGTCCGCCTGCCACCAGGGGGCCAGGGAACGAACGAACACTTTGTAATTCGTACAATTTTTGGCCAAAAGGGACAGAAGACAGGGGCCACAAGTCGAAATTGAAATGGCGCAGAAAATGCGCTTCAAGTGGCCATGGCCATGGCCATGGCCCTGGTCCTGCTCCTGGACTTTAGACATTGGATGGATGGCGGAAAATTCAAGTAAAATACAATTCTTCGATTTCTGGACAATCAATTGATGGAGCAGATGGGGGGAAGCTAGTGAAATCAGCCGCGGGCGCGGCACTTCATAAATTCCATTCCCATCCTTCAGCTGAATGCAACTTTTTGGCATCGGCATCTTTATGAAAACTTTTGCCAAAAGAAAACGAGAGAAAGAGCACGGAAATTGATCATGTCGCATTCGCATTCGCATTCTCTGTCGTCTGCAAAGTTTCAATTGAATTTTCGGGTACAACAAACAAAAAAAATGCGCTTCAGCTTGAACTTTTAGTGTGAGTTGAAAGAGGGGGGGAAGGTAATTCCGGGCAGCAGTAATTAATTTTGCATATGTGAACATCAGTGGCAGGCTGTGCACCCACTCTCGAGCGAGTGCTGACACTTGAGGCGGTCAAGGCAGAGGACTCAACTTAATGAAAGCTCAGAAGCAGCCAACATTCGTGGCAGGGCAGGTCAGGGCAGGGCAGGTCAGGGCAGCCTTATCCATCCGCAGCCAGAGCTAATTGAGTATTCTTCCTTTAAGTGGACAGCCGCCGCCGGCGCACTCCAGCCTCATTTGCAAGTGTGAGAGCCACAGTGGCGTGGCGCAGGCATAAATCAATAAGTTGCATTCGCCTTTAAATGAATTAAAATGAAATTCCCATAAAAACTGCAAAAGCTGTAGCTGTAGCTGTAGCTGTAGCTGTAGCTGTAGCGGGTGGGAGTGGAATGGCCTGGAGTTGCATGTTCTGCTCCTGCTTCCTGCTGTTGCAGTCTGTAGCTCGGATCGCTGGCAGTGTCTGCGAGTGCGTGACTGAGGGCAAGTCCACCCTCTGTTGACAGCAATCAATCAAAAATTGCAGCTCCCTCAACAGCGAGTAAAACACTTGCAGAAACCAGTGCAGTGATTATTGTAATGCACTGCAAGAAAAATAGAGTGAAAATGCTAGATATTTGAGAGCCCCTTGGATCGTACTTTTTGTCTGCAGTGTATATCACGTCGTTACAGACTCTCCCACAAAAGACTGGGATGTTCCTGGGAGTGGTCCGCATGATAAATTGTCAACACTCTGACGTTTGTCTGCAGCGATTTAAAAACTACTTAAAATGTAAATGTTGTTTCGCTGTTGCTATTGTTGTTGGCTGTCTGTCTGTGTGTGTGTGTGTGTGTGTGTGTGTGTGTGTTTGGGTTTTATGCACACGTCGCGCAGCGTACGAGTAGACAGCGAAAATCATGTTGTTGACTTTGAAAAAATATGTGTGAAAATGCGCCATTGTAAATAACAGAACATAAACGCGAATCCTCTCGGGTTGGAGGAGTCTGTTCCTCCTGGTTGAAGCAGCAACTCTCCCCCCCGTCAGGGCTGACTCCCCCTGGTTGACTCCAATGCCTGAGGGAGACTGATGACATGGCAATGTCACCAGCAGCAGCAGCAGCAGCAGCATCATCAGGAACAGCTAGCTAGCTCCTAGGTCATACAATGTATGGCAGGATGATGGCACGCCTCTGTGATTGCATTTTTACACTTGTCAGTGGGTGGGTTTTGCTCGGCTTTTCCCTGACTAGTGTAGGAGAGTGTCTACGCAACCGCAGACACACCCTGCGCAGTGTCTTTCTGTGTGTGCTCTGCGAATCCAAATGAGTTATAAACTCTCTTGTCAAAATACTTGACAATTGATTAATTGAAATTGACTTTGAAAGTAAGTTGATAAGCAGTTCCCATACGCACAGCCCACCAGCACGCACGCACGCTCACAGAGGGAGGAGAAAGGGAGGAAGAAGCTGTCAATCAGACAGCCACACACTGCCCTGCCCCGCCCCGGAGCCAATACTAGCAGCAGGGGCAGCAGCAGGAGCAACCAGAACCATGCATCATTTGTTGATGAGCTAAACTTTGACCAAGAAAAGTCGCAACAGACAGAGGGCAAAGGACGACAGGGTCAGGCCCAGGCCACAGAGAGAGAGAGAAACGCTCGAATTAAGCAAAAGTCTGGTTAAACAGAAAAGTTGTTGGCCCTTGATAAACATCTGCTTGGCGGACAGTAGCTAGAGTCGGAGCCCCTCCCACCAGGATGACAACTTAAATTGCTAGTTGGCTGATAAGCCACCAGCAGTAGCCATCTACCCAGCCCTTGAGCCACCCCTGCTGCTGCAGCAGCACCCCTCAACCCCTGAGTGGGCGTATAAAACATTTTTATTTATTTCACTATTTTTTATATGTGTATGTCGGCTGTCAGGGGTCGGATGGGAACGGGAACGGGAACGGGAACACGCGCCACATGCCGAAACGACAAACAAATAAATAAAATTCCACTTTTGGTAGAGCGGGGAGTGTGTGTGTTGCGTGTGTGTGTGTGTGTGTGTGTGTGTGTGTGTGTGTGCGTCTGTTCTACAAGTCTATTAACTTGTGGCGCTTATCTTATGCTGACAGCAAGTTTTTCACTTGGCCAAAGTTTAGCCAAGGATACTTTGCCACTTCCTGCGGGGGACAGGGGCAGCAGGCAGAGCTTCGATGTCAATCATTTGTTGATCATTTTTCCTGCCGCCGCAAAGTGAATGTGAATCCTGGCCTATGCATAATGTATCGCCTCCATTTGTAGCTGACCCCTCCGAGCTGGAAGTGGAAGCAGAAGTAGAGGAACGATAAATTGCATTCCCTGCCAGCAGTAACTTGAAAGTGAAGGGAAAAGTAAGCGCAAGAGAGTTGGACAAAACTTTTTGGTTTTGCTGCTGGGCGATAAGCGAGGGAATTGGTCAAGCAGCTCGTTCTCGTGCTCCATTCATTAAATGCGACGCCAAAAAGTTGCAGCTGCTGGAAGATATTTATGAACTGTCGGAATGCCGGACAACCCGAGGAGGACACCTCCCACACGGCCAGGTGGCCAGCTACCGTTTTCAATAAACGTTAAGCATTACGGTTATTAGTTTCAGGTCGGGGGACATAAAAAACTTCTGCTCGAGTTGAGCATAGTTGTCTCCGACACACTGTTGCATCCACAGCAACAGCAGCAGCAACAATGTGTGTCACCCAATGGGGCACAGAGCTTTGCTGATGCTATCTGGATGATGTTTTAGTTGTTGCCACACTGTCACAGCATCAGCATCAGCAGCAGCAGCAGCAGCAGCATCAGCGGCAGGAGCAACATGTTGTTGAAGCTGATAATTCTGTCGTTGACTTTGTTTGACTATGTTGCAACGGTCCACCCTCGCTGTGTGGCCGTGCAACGCGAGTCCTGGGGCAAAGCGAAACCTATGGAAATTACGGATGCCGTAATGCTCCCCTGGAATGCTGTCCAAGTCCATTACATGCACAGAATGTGCAGCATTTTTGCAAGTCCTGCCAAACGGTGACAGCAACAGCAACGGCAAGAGCAACAGCAACTTATTAACGCGCAATCTGAGCTCTGCAGTTGACCACAACAGCAGGATGTGCCGCAGTAGTAGAAGGAGGAGTGGGAGAAGGAGCAGCAGCACTCATAGAAGTAGCATCAAGTGCAGCAGAAGCGTTGACGGTGACGACGACGACGACAGGCGGAAGCGGAAACGGCAAATAAACGCACGAGCGCTGACGTGCGGGCTGCAGCGTGTCAGCGTGCTTGTCTCTGTGTTGCTGCTGTTTGTGTGTGCTGTGCCTCTGTGTGTGTGTGTGTGTTTGTGAGTAAGCGTGCACTTGTTTGCATGCAAAGTGGCAACATGGCAGCGACAATAGCAGCAGCAGCAGTAACAGCAACTGCAATGGCAACGGGCATTTATCTGCCTCCCCAGACCAGACCCGACCCGACCAGACCAGACTTGCCACGCCCCGTCGTAATACATTGCGGTTGGGATGTTGCATGTTTGTGGGCGCTCGCCTGCGTTTGAATTTTTTGTTGCTTTGCATACCCATTGACAGGGAAGCGAGAGGGTCAAGGGTGTGCTGGACAGCGAAGTTTCAGAAGTACAAAAAATATGCCACCAGTAACAGGTACTCCAAAACTGTTTCGATGGTGAAACTAAACTAATATTAAAGTGTATCCTTATGCAGGATATTTATTATTCCACACGCAGTCACATTGCATTCATCCTCTCCTCTTCTCTTCTTTTTTTTTCGTTTTGCAGCGGCGCCATCGTTCGCATGCACGGCAAGGATTTCTCTGCTTAATTTGTGGTTTTCAACCAAACAGAACAACGAGAAGCGATGGACGCGAACCCTGAACGTGGACAGGGAGGGGGATGGCAGATGGCGGGGTGTGGTTGGGCAGAGTGAAGAAGGCTCGAACCAGGACCGGGCTAACCAACTGGTCAGCCAGCCAGCGGCAATTGCAATTGCAATTGAGGTTGCAGTCGCACGAATACGAGTATTCCGGGAAAGCCTTAAATATGATTATGCCTACAGCCAGAGGCGTGCACAGCAAAGGGTGGGGAGAGTGGGGAAGGGTATTTGCTATGTTTCCCCTGCCTCCAAAGTGGAGAGTACCGGTTACAGATATTTTGGACTGTGGGCCCATGCATCTTCGCGGGAATCTCCTGCTGTGGCACACAACAAATTTCCACGAACTTGATTTAATTGTCACACATTAAGGTACCACAATTACATAGAAGAATGCCGCAGAGCAGCCGGCGGAAACGGCAACAGTAATAGCAAATAATACACCAACAAAAACAACAGCAGCAGAGGGGCCTGGGGCCTGGGGTCTGGGGTCTGGGGTCTGGTGGCACCACCTCCTTGTCCCTTGCCGCTTTGTGAATGTAAAATGCGCCATTTGCAATTGTAGTTTATTTTAATACCGCAATTAGTGTGTACATACTGGTCGGGGTGTACATACTGGACAGAGTGTGGTGTGGAGTGGGGCAGGGCTTGCGGGTTGTGCGGTGGCATGCATGCAAAGGGAATGACTGCGGGCGGGGGTATGGTGAAACGGAATCGGCGTTGTCATGTTGCCACACAATTTGAGGTACACCGATGCTGCTGCCGCGGCCACATAGGTGATGCCATTATCGTTAGCCATTGCATAAATATGCCACGAACACACATAACTATTCCAGAGATACGCTGATTACCGACAGACGGACATCTCCATTGGCCGCTTCGAGGGCCCTCCATCTGTCTGGATGGGGCTGGCATTGCTCGATGCAGTCAATTGCCGCGTGATGTTAATTGATTTTTAAGTGGCGTGTCCTATGGCTAACTGCAATCAGACACACGAATTATTATAATGCGCCAACGAGCAAAAACCGTCAAGGTAATCAATAATAAAAAGGTTACAGGCAAGGACACAGCTCGACTGTGTGCTACCCTGTGCCTAAACGGCAGCTAATAGATTTGGGCATCCGCTGGATCGTTAGTTATGTATTAGGGCAGGTTAATTGAATCGGCCGAACTATGCCTGGGGTCGGACCGTAATCCCTGATTGATTTCGATTGTTAAACACGCTTCAACAGAGAGCCCGTGACAGAGTTTCCGTTTACCCTCCACCGGCCCTTCCGGGCATGTCCATCCGGTATAATCACATTTAATGTTGAATGCACTTCATTTTTTGCCCCAACTAAATGCCAATTAAAATTCGTAATTATTTTTTAATGGCATTTTGTGGTCAATATCCGATGAATGATTGAACAGTTGAAAGTACTCTATGGTGCGGTGAGGCGGTGGTCCGTTTTGGGTTTGGCAATGTTGACGGGATGCCGTCGTGACGCTTCACATTTATGACGAGCAAATGGCCAATATCAATATCAATTGCATGACTTGCCAAACTGGCGCCAGTCTAAAAGTGCCCTTACACATGGTCCCAGGCAAGGCGTCATCGTCATCATCATCATCATCATCATCATCGTGTAAGGAGAAACCCCCCAATGGAATGGTGGTAAAACTTACAAGCAATTGCAGCATGAGTACAAAAACTACAAGAAATTGCAATAAGAACCTTTGTCGGAGTGCCGGAGCCAGTGGCCCCGCAGCAATTGACCTGCTCAATGAAATTCAAGCAATCATCACTATCAACATTTCGTTTCGTTTCGATTCGATTCGATTGGACACGCTACAACATGCCACCGCACATGCCGCAAGTGACAATCATTTATATTTAATAAACAACTAACGCATGCACGGCAGGGGGGGGTAGGGGGTTTGGGTTTTATTGTTGGACAGGGCAGGGCAGGGCAGGGCTGGGTTGGGATGGGCAGACGAGCGGCCATTGATTGCTGGCATTGGATAGTCGGTGTAGGCAGGACACAAAACGCCCAGCAAACGAGCACGACAAATTCTACATAAATATGTGCAAGAAAAACATGGATGAAAGACTGAATAGTTTCGGGACAACATAGAAGAAGCTTTTCATACTCTAACATCAGCCAGCGGTGGATGCTACAAACATGGGCTATAGAGGGAGATATAATATAATATTTACCCTTTGTGGCAGGGTATGCCGAAAACAGATACAACAACCATCGGATGACAAGTGAGCGAGCGGCCATTGTCTCTGGCCCGTTAGAAATTGTTTATCATGCATTTTGTTCGGTTCCAGCGACTGAATAATGCAGCAGGTAGATCGATGTGTATGGACTGGGAGAAAGAAAGAGACACAAGCAAATAAATAAGCACGAGCACGAAAGCGGGAGAGTAGGAGTGGCAAAAGCAGAATGGGGGCGAAAACAGGAAAAAAGGCACAAACAACGGACAACAGACAGTGCCAGACCAGACACAAAACCGTTCTGTATTGCTTTGGGCGGCATTCAAATTGAATATTGAAAGCATCGTGCACAAAACTGCCAAACGCTTGAATTATGCATTAATGATGTCGTTGTCTCCGTCTCTGTCTCGCAGCGCCATAGTGGACAGCGCCAGAAGCAAAGGGGTTGGCGACTGGACAGGGAAACAGAAGGGGTTTGTCCGTCGTCAAAGCGTGCCAGCAACAGCAGCAGCAGCAGCAGCAAATAGACAAGAACAACGGCACTGCGTCCTTCGCCACTTTTGTTCACTGTCCTGTCCCATCGCCTTTGGCTGCTTATTAATTTTTTATGCGTCTGCCATTTTTATGCGCTCGCCTCAAGCATTTTATTTGCTCTAACCTCAGCTTTCAATAGGTTTCCCCTGTTCAAATGTTGTGCTGATAGTTCAATGAACCCTATCGATGATCAGCTGTCGATCAGCAGCTTTGACTTTCCAGTGTTGTGAAATGTGAAACCACCCAGAAAGACATTCACAATGGCTGGCATACAAAAAACAAAAATTAATTACCCGCATTTTGCGCGCAAAGCAGAAGCGCCTGCAGTAGAAGATTATCAAGGCCGAAAATCAGGTGCGGTGGCTGCACCGAATGTAGGTAACGGGTGCAGGCCATGCAAAACTCATTACATGCCGCAGAAACCACGCCGATGTCACCCACGCGGGCGCACACTGACCGCAACATGTTGTAATGCGTGTGTCCCCTCCACCACCACAGAATTCGCAATCGCTTTATCAACATTTGCATGGGACAGCAGCACCAGGACATAACCAGACCGGACCAGAGCCCCTATACACAATGATGGCCAAGGATTGGAGCCGGCGCAGGCCAATACTTTAAGCCCATGTGCTGAGAGCTGCACTGCCAAAGGACAAACTTAATGTCAGCACGCTAATCTGTCACTCACTGCGAATGGAATGAGACTGGCGCAGAGATACGACTGGGAGCTGCGACATGCTCTGGCTACTTAAGGAGGAGCACTATGGTTGCGCTTCGCTTCGCCTCGCTGCACGGGAGAGCGTGCGGCCGGACGGGGTGAGTATGATGGTGCAACAATAACGCCACCAAAGCAACGTCGTATCCTTTGAAATGACAAAAATTTGTTGCTTTCAGTGGAGCTTGACGCGCTGCTTGACTTGCCATCAGACACTTGCGGGACCACAAGCCATCGCCAGGCATCGGATCAGCCCACGCCCTCGCCAGGGCAATGGTGAGGGGGAGGACAAGCAAGCACAACGCGCCTTATCAACTATGCACGGCTTTGTCTCTAAACGATTGTCTGCCTGTGCCTGCACCATCTCTCTCTCACCATCTCGGTGGCAACCTGTTTTCTGTGTGTTCGCCAGCATCAGCACCGGTACCCGTACCCGTACCCGTACCCTTGCCAGTACCCTTGCCAGTGCCAGCGTCAGCGTCTTTTGTTGCGCTTAATGAATTTTACGTAAATTTTACGAGCGCTGATTTCTGCCAGAGAGAACACTCCCCCCACACACTACGGGGAGGATAACCATCCACCCAGGCTATTAATCTACACTTTAGCGCAAGCAACACCCCCAGCACCGCCCTGACAAGGAGGCAAGGCGACTCCTGCTGCTGCTGCTGCTCCATCCACTCTGCGTGTATGCCTGTGTGAGTATAATGACAAGTTCAACAACAACTTAGCATTGTCTTCTTCTGACAACGACGAGAGCGAGGAGGACGATGACGACGACGACGTGCTCCGACATTTGTTTGCACAAGTTATGCAAATATTTTTATAGTCAAGACGTTTTTGTTTAATTGCATATTTTGACTCGAATTACGCGTGCCATAAAGCAAGGATCTGGAAAATTACCACAAGCTTGGGTGAGAAGGGCTGGAGGAAAGCCGCTAACGCACTCGAATCGAGTGAGTAATTTTTGTCTAGCCCCCAGCCCTGGAATGCAGTTTGACAGGAAAGTAAGTACTTTCGAGTACTTTCTCTCCTGTCACACACACACAAACACACACACACTTGCACGCACGGTGACTGCACACTTTCTACTTTCTTAATTTTTCGTCGGCCTCTGCACAACGTTTGAAAAATCGTGGAAATGGAAATCGACATGAAAAAGGGCGTAATGCTATTCAAGGAGGATAATAATGGAGTTGTTACCACCGTCCACTTAACGCCATTGGTCAATCTAGATACGAAGTACCAATGCGGCCACTGCGGCAATAAGTATATGTACAACGGACCCTTTAGCAACCATGTACGTGCCTGTAAGCGTCGCAGTGAGTTGGATGCGGACCGAAAGTCAATGGAGGACAACCCTAAGCTTAAGATCAGTTCTTCCGATGAAATATCACGGAATGGGCCCAAAAAGAGGCGCAACAACAAAGAGTTGACTGGAAGCTGGATCCAACTGGAAAAGAAACCAAAGCGCACCATTAAAAAGGTGTACACTTGTTTTTCCTGCGAGCAGCCGTTTACTGTTGAGCTTGAAATCGGAAATAAAAGTCTACGCTATTTCTGCAATGATTGTACCACGAAGATCCGTACCGACGAGAAGACACGCGGACCCATCAAGTCAAAGGTTCCATTTTTGTGCGTGGAATGTGGCATGTCGTACAAACTGGAAGCTAATTTAATGCGGCACATGAGCGTATGCAAGGTGTTGATGGAAAATCGTTTACAAAACGATTCAATGTGTTAGTTAATATTTTATCTGTACAATTTGTTAACAATGGTTGGAGTGTAACCTATAATTTCGAACATAATTGTTTGTTTCTGTATTTATACTAATAGCATGAGTTCTTTATTAACTCTCGATTGGGTATAGCCACGTTTTAGTTGTTGCATTCAAATTATATCTCATAAACTGTGTGCATTCTGCTTTTAAAGCTAGTGGCCCATCATTTCATTTCTTATCTATTTTTTCAGATATGGCAGCACAAGTTAATGTCAGCTGTTGTAGCCTATCGATTATGTGGCAGCTTCCATTCGGTATTTTGGTATTTAAGCAGCGTTAGTACATTTCTGAAAAACCCCATCGTGTCGCACGTGTATAATTTGCAAACATTTTAATTTTCCATTATTTACTTTGCCTAAGCTGCCAAAATGAGTTCAGATGAGTCCAGCGATGGCATGGAAGAGCTCAAAGAGCTGATGGCTGTTTATTCCAACAACGAAAACCGTAAACCAGCCGCCAGAGAAAACCGAAAGAAGGCAGCAGCTGGGCCGCCGCCGTCATATGTGGAAGTGCCCATGGAAAAAGTAATTTTCGGCGATAAGCAGAAGTTTTTGTCGAATCTAGCAAAGTCTGTGGGCAAGAAGTGGAATCCCAGCGATGACGAAGATGCTGCTGGGAGCAAAGACGATGCGGAACATACTGCAGGCAAACGAAAGGCAGCCTGGACAGACTCCGACGACGAAGATATACAGCTGGGCGATGTGAAGCGTCCCACGAAGCACACTGGACCGCTGACACACTTGCGCAAGGACAAGTCATACAAGGAGTATCTGACAGCGCGCTTCCAGCGCAATTTGAACCAACCCAAGTGGGCTGAGAAGCAGCAGAATGACGACTCGGGCTCATCGTCGGACGAAGAGCTGCTGAAGACTGTTGGCTTCATAGATCACAAGGCCAAGAAACGTGAGCTGCGATCCAAGACACTGAACTTCAAGCGTGTCAGGGATCTGAACCGAGCCACATACTGCGAGGGGTTCGTCACCAGCGTGCAGTTCCATCCCACCAGCACAGCGGCTCTGGTGGCGGGAGAGAACAGCTTGGCCACCATCTATACAGTCGACGGACAGAAGAACGAGAAGCTGCACAGCATGCGCTTCAGGAAATACCCACTGCTCTGCTCCCGCATCGCACCATGCGGCACCAAAGCCTTCTTCGGCTCTGTCCGATCGCACTTCTACGCCTACGATCTGCTCGAGGCCAAGGAGACGAAGCTGTACCTGCCAGGCGACATACGCTCAATGCATCGCTTTGAGGTCTCGCCCTGCGGCAAGTACATAGCGGTGGCTGGCAAATTCGGTGCTGTCCACCTGTTGACCGCCAGCACCAACGAGCTGCTGCACAGCTTCAAGCAGGAGGGCGCAGTGCGAGGACTGGCCTGGACGGCCGACTCGAAGCGGCTGCTATGCTGCGGATCCAGCTGCAATGTCAACATTCTGTCGCTGCGACAGAACGTCATCGAGCACTACTTCATCGACGACGGCTGCATCAACGGACAGTGCGTACAGCTGGCGCCCAATCAACGCCTCCTGGCCACCGGCAGCAACGAGGGTGTTGTCAACGTCTACGACTACGAGAGCATCTTCAAATCCCAGACTCCGATGCCCGAGAAGCGCTTCATGAATCTGCGCACGGCCATCACGGACCTTCAATTCAATCACTCCTCGGAGTTGCTGGCCCTGAGCTCCAATCTGGCACCGAACGCCGTCAAGTTGGCCCACTTCCCCAGCGCCACCATCTACTCGAACTTCCCGGACCAGAACGATAGCGTTGCCTTCGTGAATACGATGGCCTTCTCACCGCACAGCAGCTTCCTGGCCTTTGCCACCAAGGGCAAGCGAGTGCCCCTGTTTAGACTTAAGTACTTCAAGGGCTACTAGCCATTGGACAATGTTCTGTTCCCCCATTATCGTTCCGAGAGTAAAATCATTTTGTATATAGTTACAACGATTTCTTTATTTCAATTAACGGGAAGACTTCACTTCAATGGAGGACGAAAGACGTCGCGCTTTTGGGTGTCGTGGATCTTGCCAATGTCGTCGAGCTTCTTGCAGATGTTGTTCGACTGCGACTCGATCCACTGCAGCGAGCTGATGTGGGCGTTGAGGATCTTGCCGATTTGTATGATCGGATCTCTGTGGTCCTGGCCCTTGCTGGCCTCGTTCAGGTTATCGATGATCTCCTTAAGGTCCTCGGACATCTGCTTCAGCTGGGTATCCAGATTCTCGACCATGAGGAAGGTCTGATTGCGCTCCATGTCGACCCTTGGCAGGCCGACGAACTCCTTCTCCAGGGGCGCTAGACTCTCCTCCAGCTCCTTGTGCTGGGTGGCAATAAACTCGAGCTCCTGGTCCAGCACCTGCTGATCGTTCTTCACCTTCTTCACGGCATCATTGAGTTCGATAATTTTGTGGTTGTTGCTGATCAGCAACTTATCCCAGGCGTTGATCTGCGTTGCCTGCTCGGTGAATACTTTTTCCTGCTCCTCAAACTCCAGTGTCCACTTGTTGATGTGCTCCTCCAGTTGGTTGTACGAAAGTTGCGAAGCATTCGAAACTGCAGCCGAATCCGTAGTCTTTGTCTCGGTTGTTAAATTGGCAAATGCCCCACCGGTGCCGACAGCAGGCGCCACAACTCCAGTGAGAGGAGCCACAACAGCGGCTGTTGGTGCCGCTGTGCTCTTTGGAGTTGTCGTCAAACCGAGCGATGGGCCACCAATCAGTCCCGTAGTGGGTGCAGCGGTTGCCTGTGTTGCTGCTGCCGTGGGCTGGGCCATAAAGCCCGCTCCGAAGGCTGGCGCTGCAGCTGTGGCCGCTGGTGCCGCAGTTGACGTTACGCCTGTGTTAGATCCGCCCAATGTCGTCGATAGCGAGAGTGCTGGCGCCGTGGTTGCTCCAGACAATCCGAATCCGCTAAACGGTGGCGGAGCTTGTGCCTTGGCGCTATCCGCATCTCCTCCGCCCATGTTGAGACCGGTTGGACCGCCAAATGAAAATGCTGGCTTTGCGGCGGGAGCAGCGGCCGCGCCAGCTGCTGGTGCTGGAGCATTCGTGCCGAACGAGAACGAACCTGCAGCTGCAGGGGCACTTGTGGTAGCAGGCAACTGGAATGCCATTTTAGTTGAAGCGCAAAATAAAAATTAAATTCTATTTTTGTAGTCAAACGAAGCACGCCAGATTTTGTGGTGTTGAAACTGGTCTGATTAGTGTTGTGAAATGTCGGTTGCTCTGTGGTATTTTTTAGCCGCAAATCTTTAGCTCATGCAATAAATTGTTAATCCGCGTACTTTCAAAAATCCGAGCCCCCAGTATTAACGGTGCATTGAAATTTATTCCAAATCAATAAGAAAAGCAAACATTATTAGCGAGAAAGCTTTAATTTGTTAACTTCGCGTATAGTGGTTGCGCTGATAAGGCAACATTTAGGTCAAGAATTTAATTACAATGGCTCATGCCAGTGCAGTCGGAATGCACTTCACACTCGTCGAAAGAGTGTAGGATAGAAATAACTGTGCATGTACACTGTGTGTATGCATGTGGGCGGAGAGTCCCAATGCACATTCTGGAGAAATCTTCCCGTGTTTTGTCGCACAGTTTAGGTACCAAACAGCGCACAATTGAACAACAAAGCGAACAAGAAGCTGCTGTTCGGGCTCTTTGTGATAAGCTGGATCGCGCTGTGAACTTGGGGCCGCTGCAAGTCAATCGTTCTCCTACTTGATATTGATAAGAGCCTAGCTGCCTGCTGAGTTTCGCTCGTTCCACGCTGGTAGGAGGTAGGAGCAATCAGTTGAGTGGAGTACTCCGACAGCAATTAGCCACTTGCCGTGTGTGTATCCAACCTTCTGTTCCCGCTTGCGCAAGTAGGTTTCTGGGCAAACAATGTTATCTGGAGTGCCCCATCATACACAGCACGCACAAATCTATAAATTCGTGAATTCGTACCACAGGCCAGGACTCACTCATCGCCCCTAACTCAGAATGTACAGAGCGTCGAGCGTTTTTTTGGGGACTTTCCTCCTGCTGCAGCTGCTGCACTGCGGAATGGGACTCGACAATGGACTGGCACTCACGTAAGAAATCGGCGTCTCTCCATTCAATTCATTCTAAAGTTTATATTTGCAGGCCACCCATGGGCTGGATGTCCTGGGAGCGGTAAGTGAATGCTATTCCTATGGTCTGGGATTATTAATTGAGATCATCACACTTTCAGTTTCCGCTGCCTAACTGATTGTGAACTGTACCCAAACGAGTGCATAAGGTAGACCCAAAAACACCTGAGATTTCTTTTCAATTGCAATTTTATTAACTCAAACCTTGGGATTCATTGACAGTGAGCAGCTGTTCCGACGGCACGCAGATTTACTGGTGACAGAGGGCTATGCGGATGCTGGCTACGAGTACATAATCATCGATGATTGCTGGCTGGAGAAGGACCGCGACAACAAGAGCCAGAAACTGGTTGCAGACAAGCAGCGATTCCCCAACGGACTGAATCCTCTTGCAGATCATGTGAGAAGGCTACCCCAGTGATTCCTCACACCGTCGTTACATCTGTGTACCCCTCACAGATACACAACATTGGACTGAAGTTCGGCTTGTACCAGGACTATGGCACGAACACCTGTGCCGGTTTTCCCGGTGTCATAAAGCATATGCAGCTGGATGCTCAGACGTTTGCCGACTGGGACGTGGACTACGTCAAGCTGGATGGCTGCTATGCCAACATCAGCGACATGGCCGTGGGCTATCCTGAGTTCGGGCGTCTGCTCAACGCCACTGGCCGACCTATGGTCTATTCCTGCAGCTGGCCCGCCTACCAGGAGGATGCTGGCGAAATGCCCGACTATACGTCACTGAAGCAGCACTGCAACCTTTGGCGCAACTGGGACGACATCGACGATTCGCTCGAGTCCGTGGCCCAGATCATGGACTACTTTGGCAAGAACCAGGATAGAATCCAACCCCATGCCGGCCCGGGCCACTGGAACGATCCCGACATGCTGCTGCTGGGCAACTACGGACTGAGCTACGATCAAAGTAAACTGCAAATGGCCATTTGGTCCATTATGGCAGCGCCGCTGATCATGTCCAACGATTTGGCAGCAGTGCGTCCGGAAATCAAGGATATTCTGCAGAATCGGTTTGTTCAGCCCTCGATAACGCATCTCAATATGTTACATCCTTGTTTCTTCCCCTTCCAGTAAAGTGATTGCTGTGGACCAAGACGTGCTGGGCATCCAGGGCCGTCGTGTACTGTCGAAAAATCAAATCGAAGTATGGAGCAGACCCATCACGCCTGTGGTCAGCAATAACCAGCACTCCTATGCCGTGGCCTTTGCCAGCCGCCGCTCTGACGGTGCACCCTATAGAATCGTATTCACCCTCAAGGAGCTGGGCCTGCACAATGCAGCAGGTTACGATGTAGAGGACTTGTACGATGACACATCGAAGTTGGGCATCTTCCGCCCTGCCAACCAGTTTATCACGCGCGTCAATCCTAATGGCAAGTCCAAATCTCGTTGTAAGCTCGCATCTGCTCACGCATCCTCTTAATCACTTGGTCTTCTTTTCTCTGCCCTTCCCACAGGTGTAAATTTCTACAAGTTTACAGCGCTTTAAACGCATTTGCCCGTTGCTGTCTGCTGATATGCAAATCATCCATTTGCTGAGCCATATCTGCCATCCAAGCGTTTCGAATATGCTCCTATAGCCATGTCTTACAAATACTTATTATATTTGCGGTGGAAGAAGAGAAGCAAATAAAGTTTGATAATAAATAATCACCCATGTACGGATGATTGTCAATTAATGCTTTGGTTGCACATTAGAAAAGTGCAAACTTTCTTTAACTGCAGCAACATGAAACTTTTCTTTGAATTTAAGCCATACCTCCGTTTCATGGTGGCGAGGTCTTGTCAGACATCAATAATACTCGAAATGCCCATTTCCTATTGATTGTTTAGGTGTATTTTTGAGGGTCTGCGGGTATTTTTGATCGATACTTCCGCGGTCACACTGTTGGCTAGATAAGCAAAACAAAAACGCGCGCGGATTTTCATGACAAAAGCGTAAAAAGTGTTCTCGTAATAAAAACGAGAAAATGTCGAGGGATTTGCTTGAGCAGCAGGTGCGGAAGTATGGCGAAAAAGGGCAGAGAAGTGAACTGCAGTTGCTTATTAAAAACACTTCCGTAAAACAGGTAATCCTTGCATTGTGTGTGCAACGCACCAAATCGTGAGTATGTACTACATACATTGTACATATGCATATATTTTGTTATGAGTATGTACTGTCAATTTATATTGTTCGATCAGTTAACAGACACCCTGAATGCCACCATATCCCGAAGTGAAGGTATCAGTTTCTGGAATTACTTTCTGCTCGCTTGCGACACTGAGAGCGAAGAGTCCAAGAAGAAACGTTTTGCGCTGGTTCGCTGCTTTATGGATGGACTGCGTAATGTAGAACTGAACTATAAGCAATCCTTCGATTTGATCACACGACTAGGCCGGGACCTGTCCACATTCTCCGCTGATGAACTGGCCTGGATTATTGAGCACTGTGTGGATGGCTTGCGACAGGGGGACGCAAAATGCGTTGGTTGGAAGGATTTGTTGCCAGAATCGCTTTCTCTGCTGTCGGCAACTCCACGCTTTGTTCTCAATGGGGTAGCCACAGATGGAACCGAGTATAGAAATCGTACAGTGAATAGTATATGTACCATGCAATGGCCATCTTCAATTCTGACCCCCATTGCTGACATGTTCAAGTAAGTTGCTACCAAAAAAAAAAAAAAAAACATTCAAAAAACATAAAAATGTAAAACTTTCCTTCGGTTAGGACCATAAACCTCAGCAACGGAGAAATCTTAACAGTGTTGAATAAATTCTCTGGGGCCCTGCAGGAGCTATCGCCAATGGAGTTACCAGCTCTGTGCTTCCAGCTCTTTTCCATGTGTCAAAATGCCTCTCAGCTGATTGTCCCGCTCCTGGCATTGGAGAAATATTTCCACCGCAATTACTATAAGCGCTTGTTCTCAGACATGTGCAGTAATTCAACAGATTTCGACAGCATTGGTAAGGCGAAATATTCCAATAATTGACTACGTGTGTTTCAATCATTTTTATTATCAGATCCTTTTTCGGACAAAGAGCTGCGGGAGGCAGAAGAGACTATACTCCACCATTTGAATTATTGTACTATGTACAAGTTGACTGAGAAACAACTGGCTGCCATGCTGAGGGTGAGCACGCTCTTACATATTCGCTGTACTAAGTTGAATGATCTTTATTCCTAATTTTGTATATGCAGAACTTCTCGCATTTGCCCGATGTCATTCTTACGCCATTCATGCTTAGCGCTATTATTTCGATGACCAGCGTGAATCGGGATCCAGAATCTGCACGCATCTCTCGGTCCATTTTGCTGCCATTCTTGCGAAATGTCATTAAGAATAATGAAGAAGAGATATCGTTAGCAGGCTACTCCGTATGGTATCGTGACTCGTTACAGCGCAAACAAGTCGACTTGCAGCAGGTCTTGACGGTGCTTATAGATCAGAACAAAGATGGAAAAGATGTGATAACACCAGGGCTGGTCCATCTAGTATTTTTCCTGCTTAAGTCGCAGTCTCCAAAAATGCATACTCTTGCCATTACTTTTTTAACAAAGTTTATTCGCAAACGTTTCATCTTTGGGCAAGGCATCATCAAACTCCTCTCCGAGTGGATGATTGTATATCAAGATCAAAACCAGTTTTCCGGTGGGTAATCGACTCTAACTCAAAGCTTCTTAATAAATATTTATATTTTTTCTAGACTGTTTAACATTGTTAAGTGTAGCGGACACGTACACGGTCTCTGAATGCACAAAAACCATCCAGACAGTTATGGAGCATATGCTATGGGCAAGTCATTCAAATATATATTTTGTTTTCTTCTATTATCAATTATTTATTTGGTTAAAGCTGCCTGGAGAACAAGCCATGCGCATGATGAACTTCCTTTTGCCTCTTCTGAAGATATCCAATCGAGTACGAGACACCCTGATTGATGTTCTCTGCAAAGCAATGAGTTCTAGGTGGGTCCTGTTTTAATAGGAAATATCTATATATATTTAATACTCTTCTACACTCGTAACACAACAATATCCAGCGGCATTCAAAAACGTCGGATGGCTATTTACGGATTTTGCATGATCCTCAAACAGCTTAACAACAGTAACGCACTGCGGCAGACAAGCACAAGTACAACCAGCTTCTGCACGCAGCAGAGCATTTCCGGGTACTCAATGATGACACAAAATAGCCTAGGAACACGAAGCAATCCGCAACGCAATTTCGACATGCTTACTCTGGAAATTATTGGAATGCTGCGAAATTGTTTACAGCAGCAGTTTGACATACGGTGTACGCTCTATGAAAGTAAGTAACCGAGATGCCAGCCTAATGCCCTAAATGTTTCTGGTGATTTTCTAATTGTCCTCTCAGATCTGCAGCGGGCCGTGGAGCTAAACGCAAAACTTGTGCCTCATATTTTACAAGTGATTGATTGGCATTTTCGAAGCTTTTTTGACACTCCCTCTGCAGAAGAAGCTGGCGATGACTTGGACACAGTATTTCGCATACGTTACGATAAGCTGGTTAGTGCCAGCGATCATCTACATATGGAAGTTCAGCTTAAAGATAATCTAGGAAAGTTGGTACAATTCGTCGCTAACTGCTTGGTAGCCTTTGAGCGAGCTTCGTCGGGCTATGACACTCGTGAGATTTGTCGGCTCTTGGCCTTATGCGTGCAACGAATGGTTGCCAACAGATTGCCAACCGACGACATTGTAAGTTCAAGCGGTTTTCTAAAAATCGGATAGTCTTTTATTAAATACAAACATACATCTAATTCCAGTCACCTCCTGCCACGCACCTAAAATGTGCTCTAGTATTGCAGCAACTCAATCTTATTGAAGGAATCATTTCCCATTTATTGCTTGCTGCCAAACCAAGGAACGACGCCATATGTAACATTTTGCCTTTATTTAAGCAGCATTGCAAGCTTTTAGACGATCTAAAGACTTTGGCTGGCTCCTCCAAGAAGTTACACAAACAACCAAAGAAAACAGTCAGCAATGATACCACAACTTCCTTTGCCAACCTTACTTTAAATGGAATACCAATGAAAAGCATGTGTACACAGCCTGAGAATATATGGGACTTGGCTATATTGGATATGCTACTTCATCTACTACTCGAGTGAGTGTCATGTTAACTGCTCTGATTCAAATTAATATTTAAAAAAATTAATTTTTAGTGACATTGTTCCATTTGCCGCTGCTGAGAAAACCATTCAGTTGCGATCGAATGAAACCCTGGTGCGTTATGTGCTGCAGACCACTGCCGAAAAAGTGAAAAATATTCGCCTTGAACCTGATTATAAGCAACTAGCTTACAGCAAACGTACGTTCAAGCAGTTAACAGACATCACCAAAGTTATTTATGAGCGCTGCATTCTTCGCTTGTCCGAGCTGTGGCGAAACTTTGACATGCAAACCTCCTCTCTGGCGGCTCTATATTTTGTAGAGTGCCTACGAACAGCGCACGAAACGTATTCAAAGAAGTTCAAGGAATTCGTCAATGGATTTGGTAAGTCAAATGAAACACCTAATTATTAATGCAGGTTTTGTATAAATGAATTATGATTTGTCAACCGTAGATATGTCTTCCCTGAACAAAAGCAAAGCAGTGACGTATGTTGTACAGGATGTGGTGAGCGACTTTATGAAGGAGTTTGCAAGTGATGACACACTCAAAAATGATACCCTTACCGCGAGATTGCCTGTATGCCTTCTGGAGTCATTGGAAATTCTGTTTGACCATATTGAGTATGGTGAGCGTGTTGTAACTGAGTCCTATGCTTGGCTCCTCAATTTTTGTCGTACCTATGAGTTGGTAAATCCCGAAATGGGCTTGGTGCACAGCCTTCTATTTATCCAGCGCCAGAAAACGCACTCGGGTCCCTTTTTTGATAGCATTGCCAGACAACTGGGGCATGTGCTTGGTGCTCTGAATGATGACATATCAATAGATCTCCCAGATCCAAGTCTAAAGTCGATAAGCACAGTTACAGCCGAGAGTTGTTTGCAGCATCTCTATGCTGCCGTCCAGAAGCAGCTTCTAAATGTAGAATACTTTGTCGTAAAGGCCAACAATTTAAGCTACAACTGCCAACTAGTGCCTGAATGTGATCAAAGTTATTGGCGTGGAAAACTAGATGTCATGGATCGTTCTATTTGCACTCAAATAATTCTTATTTCGCGCACGCTACTGGCTCTCACCAATGTCTGTATTCCGCTGGGACCTTCTATGGATGGACTAATGAAATTGTTGATACAGCACTATGTATGCCTAAAGAACCTGACGAAACACTATTTGTCCTGCTGCACATCAGATGAAAGCATTGCCAACATGCGAAGCACTAAGTGAGTTCTGCATTGAAACATTTATTATGTTAAGATTGTTATATTCAGTTTATTGTCACACCTTTCAGATTCGAATTGCTTCTACGAGAAGTGGGAAAGCAACTCCCGGCCAATGTCTATGAACTTATTACTTACATTGAAGCTAATACTCTCGATGAGGACGCATTACAGCATCTCAAGACACGAAAACCCAGCGTACAGGCGCAGCGCGCAAAAGTGCTGCGAGAGACTCGGCTTATTCCCAAAGTAATAATGGTCATTGAGGACTTCAACAAGCACATTATTCTATTATCTAAGAAGACCAAAACCTTCAATAGACTA